TCTCAAATTATAAATATCAGATTGTCACAGAAATATGAAATATTTCTAAACAATGAGAGGATGCTGTATGGAGCATGGGAAGATTACATATTGATTCCCCAAGATTTCACTTAACAGTAATATTTGAAATGTATATATTACTGGATAATAATAGTCATTTAGCACAAACATGAGGCTCTATAGTCCATAGATGTTAAATTAACTACAACCTCAAGTGAGGGAGTATTCCTAGACGGCTAGGTATTGCCTGCTTCTGACTGACAAATGATTGCTATGAAATGAACCTACACAATCAGGACAGGTTATTACTTGAACACCAGGAGGCACTATGCAAAGCAAGATGTGTCTAATTCAAGGCTTTTCAACCAGTGGTACAGGTACCACCTATGGTACATTGGAACCTGGCAGGTGGTACGCAACCATCCTAGAAAAGTGGTAACGGGGGAGGGGAATGAGCTGAACCGGAGGCAGCACCGCACAAGTCTGAGCGAGAGATGGCTGGAGCTGCAGGGCTGTCAGGGCTCAGCGGAAGTGCCAGGATCAGCGCTTCTTTGGGACTGTCAGGGCTCAGTGGGAGCACCAGGATCAGCGCCAGGCTCCAGCTGGAGCTCGGTGCTGATCCTGGCACTTCTGCTGAGCCCAGAAGAAGCACCGATCAGCTGGAATGTTGCAGCATCTCCAGGGTCTTATGATTTACATTCAGATGCTTGGCAACTGATTCATATTTATGATGGTCACAGTGTCCCAGGGTCATGTGAAGTGACCAAAACCTGCTGTAACCACCCAGCAGACAGGGGGGAATAAAAACCAAACACCCCCACCCCACCCCCACTGCCAATCCTCAACAGAAATGCTCACAACAATGAAAACCTCAGACAGGAGGAAGAGCATCGCTGGGTAGGCAGGTGTCTTGCTCAGCTGTGGCTTAGGGGCACTTTTTTCAGTGCCATTGTAACTTCGAACAGTCACTAAGCGAACTGTTGTAAGTCGAGGACTATCTGTACCTCATCAGTTTTTTCCTTTTTTTTTTGTCATCAAGTTTTTGACACCTTGCTAGGTGATTGGTGGTACTTGGATACTGCCATATCCTAAAAGTGGTACAATGGGTGAAAAGGTTGAAAAGCCCTGGTCTAATTACATGCTAAGCCTTAGTAGCCAAACAATTCTTGGTCACCAAAAGGAGCCAATGGGAAAGCATTAATGGCATCTTTTCTAGTTGAACTGTGTGTTATTTTCTGCCCCTTATCCATTTCTGCCTCCTAAAAGGAGCAACAGTTTTCTTCCTGGCTCTACTTTAAGGACCAGAAAAAAAGAAAGAACTGTGGCCAAGGAGTTTCAAGTACATATCCAGAAGATGGATATTCTGGCAGCCAGAAAAGTTACAGAAGCCATGTGGGCAGGCCCAGGCAGGCAAGTTGCAAAAAGTGTGGGAGATGTGCCGAAACAGAAATGCCAAAGAACCAGCACTACAAAAGTTATCAGGAATGCAGACAACAGACTCTGTCAATCACATGCACCTAAAAGGTGTGGCAAGTGGCATGCAAGAGGGACCGAAACAGAACAGCCCCAGTTGACCAATCCAGCAATTGTTTCCAGACACCAAAGCAAAACAATGGTCAATGTACCAACTGGTATCAACTGCAGTGACTTTCCAGCAAATATGAACATTGGGCAACATCAATAGAGGAGACCTTCACATATTGGGTTGTATCAATAATGGCAACCATCTGATATCAGGATTCCTTGCAGAGGTTAGCAAGACAGCATAGGAGTGGCAAGGATATGAGTTGGATCCTCCCTCTTCTTCTTACCAGAATGGCAATACTAGAATTGCTGAATATCAGGATGGTGAGAGCCCTTTGGAGTGTAGAAACAATCCAGCTTGATGGCTTTCATCAAATAAGTTCCTGTTGGGCACATCTACTCACACAAGACATGGGAAATTTCGCCTTCATCCTTCTCCACAAGTAAGGCAGTTTCAATAGTAGTACGTAGTATAACCACTTAACAGGGAACAACAGCTGTTCCAGAGCATACAGGAAGAAAGGCAAGGAGGTCATATGCAGAAGCTCAAGTGGATCCGGTCCTTTTGCTACCTGTGCCTACCTGCAATCCTTTTCATCCTCGGCCTTTGTATTCAATGAGGAAACAAAGGAAGGAGTCACAAGAGGCATCAGAAGCCTAATTTTCATGACGCTTACACCAAGAGGAAAATCCATTTACAGATGATGATCACACAACCGGCACCTTCACATCAGTCACTGTGCTAGTGCTGGAATATTTGGAAGGAATCTTGGAGATTATTGAGCCCAAAGTCCTTCCCTGTGTAGGAATCCACTACTACAGCATGCCCAAGAAAGATCATCCATCCGTTATTCAAAGCTTCCAATGAAACAGCCTACCACCTTCCAGAAATTCTATTCCATCATCCATTAAGAAAACCTTGCATCCATACAAAATCTGATTTCTTGTCCTTCAAACATGTTTTAGTTTGTTAATGTGCATTCTGAATTTCAGTGTTCTAAACTGCTCACTATTTTAAGCAGGGAGTAATACAAATTGAAAGGAACAATGGCTTCTCTTGATCTTTATATTACACTTCATGCAGGCTTGGATTTAATTTCCCTTTCAGGAAACTACATCATTCCATTGGCTCATGTTCAGCTTGTGATCCGATCCACCAGGACACCAAGATCCCTTGCGGCATATTATAAACGCTGCCTGGTATGGTTTCTGCCAATCCATTCCGTTCTTGTCTTTTGATTTTTTTTTCTTCAAACACAAGATTTTTTGTTCGCCCCTGTTGAAATTCATCTTGCTAGATTCTACCTATTGTTCCAGCTTGTCAAAGTCCTTTTGAATCTTGAGTTTCCTCTGAGGGGTTTGGTATCTATATTTTTGTGTCATCTGCAAATGTGACTATACTTTTTAACCCTTCATCCAAATAATTTATAAATATGTATTAAATCAGCTGATAGGTTTGGTACAGAGCTGGCCACAGCCATAATAGAAGTAGGAACTGCAAAGTGGTACGGCAAGCTGCAATTGTATTTTCTTATCTAAAATCTCAGATTTGGATTGTCAGCCAACTAGATGGATTGGGGGAGTCATATATTCAGCTGGAGCTTCGTGATTTCCATAGAAATTTGCAAGCAGGCAAATCTGCCTTTTATTGTAAGATTTCTAAGAAAGTTTTGTGCCTTGGAGTCTGCTATAGATGCATCATTAATCTCTACTGACCCCACTCTAGGGATGCTATTGCAGAACATTCCTTTCCTGACAATTCCATCTTTGGTGATTGTAAACAGTAGTAGAACTTACCATGATGTACCATTCTGATCATTGAATGATAGACCTATTAGTCTCATCCTATTCATCGATGCTAACATTAAAAATCCACATTATTCAATCTTTCTGTTTTATTATTTTTATATATTGTTCTTCCATTTTTCTGATGTTTTGCTTTAATTTTTATAAATTAAATTTAAACAAGTAATCCTCATTGAGCAACTGCCTCATTTAGCAACTATTCAGTTATAGCAGTGATGAAAAAGTAATTTTGCTATCAGTCCTCATGTTTACAACTTTTGCAGGTCTGCAAAGCAAGGAAAGCTGAATAAGATCATGGGCACAAATGCAGTTTCACTTCGCTCCCACTTCATTTAAGATTCCAATCCCAATTGTGATCGCTAAACGAGGACTATCTTGTCCTAACCTAACTCAGTATTCATGAATATGAGGAGTTTCCTTCTTAGAAGGATTTTTAATACCTGTCTTCCAGCTAGAGAAATAAATAATGCCTTTTTGTCAGATCCACCCTTTAGTGATTCCAATGGTACTTCCTGTAAGTAACTATTGTTTTTGCAGTTTAATTTGATTTAAATTAGTTGCATGGAGTAAATTAGTTCCATATGCAAATTAGAGGATGTTGTACATACAGCTGGAACTTACTTTGATTTCTTTTTGAAATAGCTCTTAATTCCCAATACTCAATTCATTTATTTCTTTGGATATGGGAGATATTGCAAAGAAATCATAATTAAGCCTGAATTCTAAATCAAACTTGCATAAGATTACATCTGACAGCAACCTAATATATTAAGATGCAAAATATATTGTTCATTCTAATGTTGTTGTTTCTGAAATGTTGTTTCTGAAATTTGTTTAGGTAGGGATATTTAATAAGTTAAACTTAGCATTTTATACTATTAAAATATATTACTGATAATTTATAATTTACATATTATAAAATATCATTTATCTTATGACTGGGAACTAGCACAGAATAGTATTTTGGCCCAGATTTATTGTAGTTAGCAACTTTTTAAGAGTAAAATACATTTAAAATGTGTTTTTTAACCACTTTATATGTTTAGCTGGTATGACCCAAGCTGAAATTTTGCTCTACTTTTTCATAATTTTTCATCACAGCAAAGAAACTTTTGAAAAAATATTACTTTCCAAATCAAGACAGCCAAATATAAGATATGAGATAAAATAAGACTGGTGGACCTTTTACAACAGAATGGATCTGGAAATATGGGCAATTAGTGAAAACCGTCTTTTCCCTGCAGCCAAATTTCAATTCAATTACACAAAGAAAAAGGGTGGCGATGTACCTAGAATGGCAAGTCTAGATACAATTAATTCCACATCTTATAAGAAGATACTTTATAACAAGTAGATGCACTCATCAATTCAGTTTGGTAAACTGGGTAGTGATCTTTTATTACATCTAACAAGACATCTTCACAACACTAACAGTGGACAATTTTAACTGGAAAGAGCTGAACTCTGGGCTGTTTCACTTTGTAAAGCTTATGTATGCTGAACAGTCCTTCCCCAATATGAAGCCTGATTCTTATAGAGAAGTTCTGCTCTTCTGACATCAATAAAGTAGATGTGAAAGATGTCTGGAGGAGAGAATGTGATTCAGCACAATGCAACATAAAATCAAAGTCTACAAAAAGCCCTTTGTTCTAAGGAGAGAAGACAATAAAATAGTACTCAGACATTTATTTCAGGTATGTAGTTTACACACTCCATTGAGCAAACAAAAAATAGCAAATATACAAATATCATAACAAGCATTACCAAATAATGTATCTGACACTAGTGTTATAAGCTGATTAAAGAAAATAATCAAGGAAGCCAGAGAAGATGGCTGTGGCCCATAACAACCCTTCTTCTCATAAATTTTCAGTAGCACCATAATGGCAATACTTACAAAAAAAAATGCCTCATTCACACATACACACACAAAACCAAATTACTGAAGGCTTCTGTGCCAAAATCCAAAATCTTTTTCTCTCTCTCTTGTAGGAGGGGAAGAGAGCATACATCATTATGACTTGTGTGGCAAACATTTAACAGTGCAGGCGCTTAAGTGAGCTTCAACTCGTGTTCAGCTGAACCATAAGCAGGTCATGTGGCACACCCCTCGCTGCAAGCCAGCCATTTTTAGAGCCCATTTTCAAAGATGTGCAAGCTCTGCACTGTGCTTTTTTTTTCTGTGCATGTGATTTGCAAAATGATGTCAGAAAAGTTATCTGCTAAAAGCCTGAGTGAATCTTTGGTAGGCTAATACTTCAGTATTATGAATCCTATTAATCTACCACAGTTAGTTGATTCGCTGCAGTTTTCCTCCAGATTCCAAGAAGGTGGCAACTGACAACATTCTGGAAAACTTAACAGTGAAATCATCAGACCAGGCACTTATAAACCCAGTCTTTTTCAAAGGCACCAAGAATTAAACAGCGTAACTGAGGTCCCCTGGTAAAGATGACTATATCAGGTTCTCTACCATGGTAACAAATTAATTGCTCTTACATTGTACAAAAACTTTATACACCTTATATCGTAAACCTTCTATTTTGCTGTCAATTGCAAATATAATTAAATTACCCCCACTTTCTGATAAGGAGACGTCACTTTGCTACCTATTGTATATCAAGTACCAATTTCTTTTTAATTTAAAGTTATGCTATATGTCATAACCTTGCTTAAAGAATGTGTTTCAACATTACTTAACATAATGACATTCTTCTCCACACAAAATTATCAGAATGTATTTTTTGGTATGGTTACAGCAACAACATCTTGACCAGAGATTGGTTTTTGTGCTGTATACCTGAAATCCATACTGAGGTTTTATATGAAGCCTACAAGTGGCCAATTTTCCCCATTCAAGTTCGTCAAATACAGACTTTCAGCAAAGTTATGGCAAAAATACAAAACATCAATATAATGTTTTATTGTAATGCACTTGTTATAATCTTCATGTCACTTCACAAAGTGCCACGCAAGCCTTAATAGAGACATATATCCAAATGTAAGTTGCACTGAAGCCTTGCTTCTTAAAGTGGCCTGGCAAGGCTCTTTAGTGGTAAATACATTTCTGCAGCACATAACAGGTTTAAATCTCAGTCTGAACTGAAGTACTTAACTCCATAACCTGGGGTGAATGGTTGTTGTTTCTTTCTTTCAGTGTTTCACTGTTATTCACCCCTGCACTATTGGAAGTCCCCTTGCAGGTGCATTCTTCAGCAATATAACTCAGCTGGGGAACCTCTGAGTATGGAGCAATGGGTGTAAACAGCAAACTGCTCCCCTGGTGAGGAGAGTTTTCTAGGTGGTCATTTTCAACCTCTGGCAGAATGCTCACGGTATTAAAGCGGGTGTGATAATCGCTGGAACCATGGCTGCACGAGGTTTTCATACTCTCCAGATCAGAACAACTAAACTCAGAAAAATGACTTGAGTGAGAGTCAGCTACAGATGGGACACTATCACTGAGAGAGGGAGAGTCAAATTCACTGGAGTTGTTGCTTTGCTGCTCCAACAACTGAGCATCCATGTCCTCTCTGGTTTCATTTATCTTCACGCTATTCTTTTTTCTGAGTTTACCTTTGCATTTTTTCCCTGCTGATGATTCTTTGGACCACTTGGGAACACTTGATTTGTTATCAGACAAGCAGGCGGAAGAGCTACAAGCATTACCGCGGCCTGCAGCACAACCATCATCCACGCTGCTGCTCCCAGACAACACAGACTTAAAACGTCCGAAACTAAGTTACAGATGAACATGGAGGTACGACGATGGTAGAGATTCATTCTTTTTTCCTATTGTCAAGACAAAATTCCATCTTGTACAGGTTTGAGTAGAGTCAATTTAAGTCAATATTTGTCGTAAAATTTTGTATATACGTTGTTAATCAAGTTTCAAACTTTTTTCTACAGGTATCTTGCTAAGAGGATGATTCATCAATACTACTTTTAATACTTCTTTTTCAGAAAGTAATCTGCAATGATATGTGGATTCTATATTATAGATCTGACCAGATTTCAAGGCAAAGTTTGACTTTCAAATCATGTTTTGACTTCAGAAGTTGACAGAGTTGAAATTTCATACAATATGATCTGAGATGCCTAAACTTCTGCATGCTATTAGACAAAATGCCTTCCTAGATATATACATGACAGAAGCTCATGAATTAAATTAAATTAAAAAACAAAATATACTCTGCACTTGACATAGTTATTTATTGCTCTTACTAATATCTATGTAGTCACTTAAGAGTCACATCAATTTGACAGCAAATAATCAATTATAATCATACCAGAAATTTCTTACACAGCATATAAATACTGATTTTACCAACGTAGTTCAAACTTACCTGTCCAACGGGACATATGAATTTATAATGGACCCAGCCATTGCTTTGGTGCTGGCATTGTCACTCACTGTTCCTAAACTAACAGTGCCAGATTCGCCACTCAAACTGCATCTTTCCTTCTGCACATCTGCTTGGACTTCCAACCTTGGTGAAAATTCAGTATTAGCTCAATAACTAACTTGCATTTTTCATATCATATTGAAATCTTTTAAATGTTTACCAGCCACCCAGTGAAGAAAATAATTCTCACAGCAAATTAAGTGAAATACCCCTTAAAAAATTATAGTAGTAAACCCTAAAAAAATTACATATGAGAAATAGCCAGGATTAAATTATTTCCTTCTAAATAGTATAAGCAGTTAACTTCTAGTGTAGTAGCATATCACAAGTTTTTCGATTTACAACAATCCCATTTTCATGCAAGAATGTTTTACCCTAAACCACAATCCAATACTAAATATAAAAGCCAAGTATGCTAGAATTTCTAACCCTCCACACCGATTGCCATCATTGGAATTGGAGTTCTCCTTTAATCCAACTAAATTTAATCACGGTTTTCAGAATGTACCCACAAATGTTCAAGAGACAGATATTAGAATTTACAACAGTTGGCTACAATATATACTTATTATTCCATTGTTAATTACAGCTTATGTACCAAATAGTCAATTAGAGTTTCATACTTGGAATGCATTATCTTACCGGTTGTAGCAGTTGACCATTGCACTTCCTGACAGACTTCCTGTTATGCTAGCTCCAGCCAAGGCCATGGTGCTGGCTGTTTCACTCAGATTGTCTCGAATGGCTCCTATTCTGTCCATATGGCTACCACTTGCACTTAGGCTTCCAGTCAATCCAACACTTTCTTCCCCTATACTAGGATTGTGACGTGCCTCTGCTACTGATGTAGTGTCTAAAATGGAAAAGAAGGGGTATTTCAAGTCACTAAGGATATATCATTTACTAAAGTTTCACATTATAGAAAGCTTTGCTTTTATGGAAGCTACAGTAATAAAAACTGTAGTTTTTCAATTCTTGAAGAATTGATGGGATGTTGGTTTTTAGATTGGTACAATTATGATAGTAAGAAAAAATGCTGTCATCTTTTGACTGTAGGCCTAGGCTAATTTCCCAAATAGAATCGGATTTTCTCTTGAACAAGAAGAATGCCAACTACAACATAATGATTTCTAATTTTCTAATGCGATTGTTATTCCAGAATGGTACTGGGAAATAATAAAGTTGTTCTCTAAAACTAGATTACAATTTGGGTCAATTCTATTTTCTGTCAGGAAAGTAACATTTCACTAGTAATATTGAATCAATGGCATTAGAACATTAAGAGAAGAAATAGTATCTAGAAAATGATTTTATCTATTAACTTCCCTGATAAATTAATACCGGGAAAGCTTAAGATACCATCAATAAAGGAAGGTATCTTTTAAGGCTGCTACTAACTGATTTTTTTCTGGGAAGTGTAGGATTATGCAAATCACTATAAAACACAGCACATACTGCAAATAAAAAAAAATCTCTGGATACTGACTATATGTGAATAATAGTGAATATATTTTTCGAATATGCACATTTACATTCAAATATATTTTGAGCTGTGTATACATACATACATACATACATACATACATACATACATACATACATACATACATACATACATACATATGAAACAACTTGGCTATTTGTGAATTATGCTCTGTAGAAGCCTGAAACTGGCTAATCCTAGGGCAGCAACTATCAAAAACAGAAATATGCAAAATATTTCAAATTTGAAACTCCTCATTTCAAGGTGTGCTCTTTTTTTGGTAGGATAACAA